AAAAAAAAAACAATAATAGGTAATCAAAATTCTTCAAAAATAAAAATTTAATAAAGAAAAAAATTTTAGCAATAATAAAACTTTAAAAATTATATATAAAAATTTTTTCAAAAAAATATAATAAATAAAACTAGTATTAAAATATAATATATATAAATTTTATAATTTTTGATTATATAATCAAGGATTTAAAAATTGTCAATGTTAAAATTTATAATAAAAATATAGTAAATGGACTCAAACTTTTGAAAGCAACTATATATTCAAAGTATATATATAGTATATACTATATATAAAAAAAATATTTTTTAAATAAAAAATATAAAAAATTTTGATTGGAATTTATAAAACAATATAAAAATTGAATTATAAAAAATTGAAGTATAATAATTTGATTTAATAAAATTAAATTTTAATTTATTAAAAATAAAGAATAAAAATATTATTAAAAAAAATCTATAAACCTTTTAAAGGATCAATATATAATTTTTACAATTAAATTTGATAAGAATATTATTAATTTATGAGAATATTTTATTTATTTTTTATAAAATATTTGTTTAGAATTAAAGAAAATCTTAATAGTAATGCTATAAATAAATTTTGAAAGATAAATTGATGTATTTATTAGATTATTATAATTTAACTTTCAAAAATATTATATTTTAGCATGATAATGATCCAAAACATAAGACAAAAATAGTTAAAAAATAATTAAAAAACAAAAAAATTAAAAACTATTTTTTGATTATCACAATTTTCAAACTTAAATTCAATAGAAAATATTTGAAATGATGTGAAAAGAAGAATTAATAATTTAGATATTGATATTAAGAATAAAAAAACTTTCTAAAATAATTTATTAAAGTTTTAGAATCAAATGTCTGAAAAAATTTGTAGAAAATATATAGAAAAAATGTTTAAGAGAATCAATAATATTAATATTATTAAAGCAAAAAGTGGTTATACAAAATAATAATAAAATTTATATACATTTGTAATATAATTTTTCAAAAATAAATAAAAAAAATTTTTTTATACTAGAAAATAAAAACTCTTTCTGTTGATTCTTTGTTCACATAATAACCTATGAATAAATAGTGTAGTGGGTACACTCTCAGATCACCATCTACAAATTACTGATTTAATCTCACTTGAAAACTATTCTTGTAATATAGGTTATATTGTATAAGATGTATGCTTATTATCACATGCACCTTTATACTTATAAGAACCTATAGATACCTATTATCCAATCACGATATAAAATAGATTACTCAAGTTTTGATCAGTTTTAGTGCTAAAGAAATCTTCGATTGCCCTGCCACCTGAAATATGTAGGATTCAAAGACAAATCAAGAAAGAATGCTAATCAGTTCAAGCCTCTCAATGGATATGGAAAGAACATCCACTTCTTGTCAAAACTATATCCTATAGGAGATAAGGAAGACTTTGGTCATTTATACCTGTCGAAATGTAACAGACCATAACAATAATTAATGGGAAACCTCTATGATCACAAAATTAATGGCTACCAAAGAAGACAGCTATTGTGAAGGCTGGTGGTTAGCATTAGCATCATATTGAATATCATAGGGGTGGACTAGAAATTTAAGAAAAGTAATTTAGAAAATAACAATCAAGAGAAATCCCTATAGGTCAGTTTGCAAGAATGATTAAAAATGAGACAATATAAGACTATACAGTATGTCACCCAATTATATAACACTATTGAATTATCTAGATATTAAGAATACAACTGGAGGACTGTGCTATCTAAGTTTTGACTAGCTTGTGATGGATTCAAACATGATAGGGATTATCAATAGTACTCATAATCATTAAGTGATAAACAAAACTCTACTAAGGAATGCAAAACACAGATCTCTTAAAGATTAATAATAAAAAGTCCATGGTAGATTTTTGCAATGCTATAGTTCTAGATAAAGTAGGGCAACTTACAAAAATGGTACCACTATATATGGTAAAATTGGTGGATTTGATTAGGATAGGTAGTTTAATCAAGATTATATGAATCGTTCATATAATATAATACTATTGAATACTTAATAAAAGTTCATTCTGTTAGTTGGACTAGTTAAAAAAAAAAAAAAAATCTTTGTCCATATATAAAAAAGATATTTGTAAGAAATTTTTTATTTCTTTACTAATAAAGTCTTTACACTATCTCTAAGCCAACTTGAAGTTTTACTTCAAAAGATACTTCTAAACCTTTTTTTTGTTTATATTTATTTTTAAACAAAAACTTGATTTTTTGTAATCTAGAAAAGTCAAAAAACATCATTTTTATCTATAATAAAAAAGTTTTATAAGAAAGAAAACTAATAGTGTAATACTCAAAACCTTTCATATTGAAGCATGTTTATAGAGATTTTGTATAGTAGAAAATAGTAAACATCAAGCCATATTTTCAAATTGTCTGTTCATTATTTCTTCTCTCTTATAGTTGCTCAAAATTTTTTTAATTTTTTTGGAGAATTTTGCCTACCTCAGTTTGACTCTAAATTTTAGATGATATAATCTATTGCAAAATATGATTGGTGAACATGAAAAATATTAGTAATTGAATACAAACAAGTTCCTATTGGTTATTTTATATATTTTTATGATATCATTAGTGATTGAAAGAGTTGATTGATACTCCATATCTATTCACTTCTTCAATTGGGTTAATTTATAGATCAAGTTTCATGAGATCAATAAAATAGAAGCAATCAGTTCTCAAGTGGTGAAAAAACTGCTATTTGTTTAAGCTGAGGTTTTTTTTTCCTATTATTCTGATCAGGTAAAGTTTAAGATCAAAATCTTCTTTTTATCTTGGTTAGGCAATAAGACCAAATAGTTTCTAGTTCATGCTAAGTTCTAATCTTTTGGTTATGTTTGAGAATACATTTTCTCAAAAGTTGTTGAAGGATATCATAATTAATAAGAATCTCCATTACTTTCAAGACCCTTTCTTTTATCATTATAAGATAAAAGGATTATTAGAGAATTTGATTCTTTAGGTAATGGAAGGTGTATATCAATAAAATTCCTTTAATTAGATATGACTACTGAAAAGTATTATATTAAAATAACATAACTCAATTTCTACTAAGACATATAAAAACCTGAAGTCTATTATAAGTTGCCTCTCTACTATGGGTGGATAAAAAATCACTGTTCAAAAAAGATTGGAACCAAGTGTGTCTTGGAAGTAAAGGTTTTCACTAGGTGATAAGTTTTCTCAAAAAATATATAAGAAAGAAATTAAAATCAAGAATAGATAAGTTTCTCAAATAATAAAAAAAAGAAAAGATATTCCAATCAGGTATTTCTTATTGAGAAGAGATCTTGAGAAGCAGATTTTTGGAGAAGGCTAAAAATTTTTTTTTCAATTTTTATCTTTTCATTTTCTTATTGTCTATTTAGATATTTTTAGATATCAACCTTTTCCTTTTTTCAACCTATCCTTTTGTAGTTTCCTATATTCCAGTGACTTGGTTAGACTTATGGCAGTGACAACTTGCTAACAATAATATAGTGAACTAGGAGGGTTTTCACCCAAAGACACTGTGGAACAAAATATTGTTTTCAAGATCAAACTTAGAAACTTTTATGCTTACAATAAGTTAGTTAAATTAGAATAATAGTTTAGCTGTAGTATATATAATGCTGCTTGAATGAAAATGTACTTATGTTTTCAATTGATTAATAAACCAACAATCTAGCCTAGCTACGGGTACTTAAAAAAAAAATAAAAATAAAAAATAAAAAATTTTTTAAAAAGTAGTCAAAAATCATGCAACAATAAATTTTTAAATAAAAAAATTTAATTATATTACTAATTTATTATACACATTAATTACATGATATACTGTATGCTACCAACCTGGCTGAATAAATTAGAATAAATATTCGTACTATTCAAATAACAATATTTGATATATTTCTTTTTTTTTTTAACAATTGTAGACTGTACATTATAATATGAATCGCTAAAGCTAAAAACATTTGATATATTTCTAAAATTTTGTATTTTTAATAAAAAGTAATTATAAAATACTTTTATTTTATTATAAAACTTTTTTCTAAATTCGAAATTACTGTACATGAATTATTTTTTTATTTTATTTTTTTAATTAAAATAAAAAATTTAAACTATTGTACTACTTTACAGGTTATTATAATTTACCATACTTTTTGGCCTTTTCGTAAGCCTTCTTCTCTCCTTGCTCAACCTCGAGTATACCCATTATACCGCTAATTTTCTTTTTATATGCGGTATCCTTTTCTCTGATCTTTTCAAGATCATGTCTTGCAATGAATTGCGTATCTTTGCGTAATTCTCTGATAGCTCCTTTGCGCTCTTTCTTATATTGCGCCTTGAGCTTATTTAATCTGGCACGTTCACGATCCGGATCATAATTTTTATCAATAGAGAATCTAACGAAATTAGGAAGAAAATTAAAATTTGAAAATTGTGCTGATAGCAAAATAATCAACAATCCCATAATAATCGAATAATCATACTTCTCTTGGAATTTTGGAATATACGTCGGAAGCGGAATAGGACGATGATGATGCAATTCTAAGGGTTTACGATTTCTATGTGCAAATTTCTGGAGTCTCGTTAATTTTCCTTGCATGTCAACCACTTTTGTCTTTTAGATAAAATATTCACAAATTAATAAATGATGAAACAATGTAATTTCAGATTATAATAGATGTAAACAAACCTTGACTATTTCAGAGAATCTATCGATAGGATAGAGTGACAGAATTTTAGATGTCGCGCTAAAAAGTTCTATAAACGCAGCCGTCGAACTATATAATTTTGAATATTTCTCGACTAAATACAAAATAGCGTTTAATGCTGATACTCTGAACTCATCTTTATTGAATATATCATTCCTTTTGGAGGCCTTTAACCCCAGTAATCTTGAAAATTTTAAGGGATGTATTTCTTTTATGTTACTTGCGTCCTCAATCTGCAGGTCAATAGTAAGTCTTTCGGATATCGGAAACGTTCCTGGAATGGATTTCGTAGAGGCGAATGCACCTTTTGGCGCAAGAAGAACAAGCGCGGTATTTAAAAAATTGAGAACTTCAGGACAAACGCGTTGTGCCAGGGTTTGAAACTTATAAAAAAAGAGGTAGAGTTATTAGGAGACGAACAGTATTAAATGATGCAAATTATGAGGTAGCATTAATATAATAGGACACATACCTCGTGCATTAAATTACACAAAAATATGCCTGCCACCAAATCGCGACCCGTTAGCAGAGGACACTGTGCCAAGTATTGTCCCATTAATAAAGTCGTTGGCGTTACCACCGTATGGTGAAAATCGGATGTTGGAAAGATTTGCGACAAAATTTTCAATAAAACAAGCTCCGAAAAGTAGGGAAAGGGTGACTTGGAGGATTTATCATCCATTGAGCTTAATTCCTTTGTTAATCTATTTTGCATCGCAGCAATCTTAACAATAAAATAACTTCCGGCAGTTTCCGGAAATTGATGCGCAAGATCGAATATATGAACTACAAGCTTATTGACAAGGATCGTGGGGATAGGAACCTCTTGAGCAACACGATGTAAGATGTAATCGATAATAACTTGAAATAATTTCTATGTTTTAAAAAAATATTAGATTATAAAAATCTTGAAGAGAATGCACACGAACGATACCTTCAATTTTTCCTCATTATCTGGGGAGAGTTTGATGTTGTGTAAAACCCGAATGCGATGTATGACAGTCGGAATTTCGCTATCATCAACATTATCCAGAATTTCCAAAAGCTCTTCAAGGGAGATCGGGCACGGAAAGATGTATGCCAACTCTTTCTTTCCTCCAACTTTTATGGTGCCATGTTCACGAGACGATTTACTTGACTTTTTTAACAATGCTCCTGAAGAATAATCATTGATGTCTTCATCATCATTCCGATCAACCGAAATGAATTGGTCGTTATCATTTTCATCGGAATGTTTAAACTTTAAACCAATGTCAGAATAGTCATCATCCTGGTCATCATCATCACTGTCATCATTATCATCTTCGCTATCTTCTTCGTTGCCATTATTATCATCATCGCTGTTTTCATAATTACCATTTATCGCAAAGTCCGCAAGTCCTATTCCTTTACCAAGACCATAAAGATCTTTATCATCATTTTCATCAGATATATAGTCATCTTCTAAATCATCCGCTATTGGTACACGTTTTTGTTTTTTGCGTTTTTCGTTTTCTTCTTCAGATTCTGAGTCTAGTCCTTGCATACGTCGTTTGCGTGCGCGCTGTAAAAAAAATCAAATTATGATTAAAATATTTCTTTCATAAATACTATTATGTACAACTCACCTCCAATTTCTCAAGCTTTTCTTTTTCTTCAAGGGCTATTTCTTCTTCGGTTTTCGTTCTATCAGTTGGTCTCGCACGTTTTTCAAATGCTAACTCGCGCACAATTCTATCATATTCGTTATCCTTGTCATTTTGTTCTGATTCTACTTGATCTGACACTGACTAGTGACAAAAGTATTAAATATAATAGTATAAATACATATGCTAACATAAATATATTATAATATATATATATATATACCTTTTGGGAGGACAACTCCTGAGACTCGGCTGGGCGCTTAGGAGGGACGATAAGAAGATTTCGAATCTCTTCAATTTCATTATCTAATTCATGCCTTACGCGTTCACTCTCTTCCTTTTCAAATTGGCGTTCGTACTAAATATCACACGTAATCAGCAAAGTTCTTTTTAAAAAAAAAAAAAAACTGTTATATATTTTTTAAAAAAAAAAACCTTATGCATCTTGCTTTTTGCGATAACTTCTTTCATAACTTCTGCTTTGGTTTTTTTATGTTCAGGTTCCTACAATATAACTTTTTGCATTAAAAAAAGAATAAGAAAGAAGAAAATGAAAATAATAAAAATAATATTAACATTATCTGCTTCTTCAAAACCACCAAAATGGCTTCTGGCGACAATATCCTTGTCGATCATTCCTAATGAAAAATCAAGTGACATGTGAGCTTACTCTAAGACAACAGACATTCAAACCGACAATACCTTCATCCTCATCGTCGCTCAATGCTAGGTCTGGTTCATGAAAATCGTCAATCAAGGATAAAGATTGACCGTAGTGCGTCAGCTCATCTTCATCTTCGAGGTTAAATAACGTAGATTTCGACTGCCTCTAAATTAGAACATTCGATTACAACAAACGGACCATAAATTGTCTGATAATCGAATACGCTTTGGATATACCTGCTTTTCTCTTTTAAATCTTTCCAGCATTTTCTCTTCGGGTGAGATCTCTGGATTGTTCTCACCGAATCGCCGATCAATCATCCCACCCACTCTATTCTTATTTTCCATTTCGACAAGTAATGTTTTCTTGCGCTAGAAGCATTCACACGATAAGTAAAAAGGATAATGAATGCGAATTTCAGAATCACAATCTGAATTCTACCTTTTCGATCCCAATTTGTCGTTTTAGTCCCGGCCTCCCTTGAACACCTTTCACTTTCCTTCCCAAAACATCGTGCTTCGTTTTTGTGATTTTTAATTCGAACGGATTTGTCTTATTTATATGGTCTATCTTTGTTTTTGTGTCATTTTTACCGACTTCCTTAGGGTTTCCCTTTTTTTTCTGTCTCTTACTAACGTTCTTACGAGAGGTTGAGCCTATAATTCCTGCCTCCTTAAGTGACGTTTTAAGACGTTTTAATGCAGAACCGCCATTTTTTGCAGATTTTGCTGTCATAATTAATTTTGTTGAGACCGAAAATTTTTATGATTGATGATTATCTACAATACAAAAATATGTATATTTAAGAATATTATTATATTAATTTAGACCTTAAATCAATAGTTTTAATAATAAAGATTCGGATCTAAAGATTCCTGGTTTAAATTTATTAAAAGAATTTTTTTTTTTTTTAAAAAAAAAATTATATAGAGGATTATATCAATACTGAGAAACAGGTATTAAAAATAAAAGATAAATAAGAAATAAAAATAATATTTAGATTTTCATATAATCAAGTGGTCTTTCAAATAAGTCTTTACAATTGTTTAAAATAAAAAATTTGCAATATTAGAACTTATAAAATATTTTTTAGTATTTCATTGATTGAAATACTTTTATTTTTAAAATACTATTTTAGTACTTTAAGTTGTTCGATAATATTTATTAAAATTTATATATTCTTATATTAAAAAGTAAATTTTATAAAAGTTTGAATTATTTAATATTAATAATTATAATAAAGTAAAAAACTATTTGATTTCACCAATTATGGAAGTTAACTACTTATAATAAGTTCTATAAATTATAAAAAAAACTTGATAAAGAATTAGAAAAAAAAATTGTAAAAATATAATATTATATAAATGCAAAATATAAAAAGAAATTATATATAATAGTTTATAATTAAGGAAATAAGTTAATTTATTTGAAAATAACAAAACAAAATAAAACTAAAAGAAAACAAAATTAATAAATTCAAGATTAATAAGCTTACATATAATACTTGATGTAGAAAAGAATAAAAAATAGATATATATAGAACATTACTTTTAAAGAATTTTTTAAAAAAAAGCTTTCTTATAAAATTGACTATAACATTAAGTAAACTATCTATAAGTAAAGATGGGTCCCTAAAGAGGAAGGCAAGGACAAAAGTCAAATGTCTCTCACTAGAAAACATTAAAATTTTTAAATTAATAACTATAAAAAAAACTATCTACAATTGTTCTCTATTATTCAAATTATTGATTTACAGCATTTCCTAACTTTTGTCCCTATTAAAGTGAAGAGCTATGAATTTGTTTCTCAAAAAAAAAACTAAGTAATCTGTAAAATTTTATATACTAAATACTTTAGGGACCCATTATTATCTAT